AGTGACTGTTGGTTCTCACAAGTATAGTAGAATGCAGATTTCGGTCCTCACAAAGATAGCTAAACAGGAACACACACACACACACACGAGGAGAATAACTGAGTAAATTGCTTTGATGCTAAACTCTAATCAAAATAACTGGATAAAGATTTATGAATTCATATAAGTTTGGTTCACAATTTTCTTCACGTCAGTTTAAATCAATACAAAATTGAAAGCTGATATTTCATGTTGAATGAACGACTTCAGAATAACCTTTTTACTGCATAAATCTCCACAGAAAAACACCAAAAACCAAAAACCACTGATGTTGGTTTGTTTGAGCACGTCGCGATCCCGAGCTCAACATTCCCACTGCTTTAAACGTTCCTAAGCCGGGATGATGAAACGAGCGTCCCTGCCCTGTTTGGGTAAAAGTCAGTTACTCAACAACATCTTTATTAAGTGAGCGATGCAGGCCTCCTCTGTTACTCTGTGACTATAAAGTGCATTTAACTCATGATGTGTTTGACAGTCTTGCATGTGTTGTATACTGTCAATCATTGAAAGAGAAATTACACAGACATTTAATAACGTGTCAGAAGATGTCATGAATGCCTCCTTTATGACTTTTCTTTTTACAGACCAATGTGTGATAAGCATGACAGCTCAGCTAAACTGAGGCTTTACGACTACGCAAGGACCAAAATACAAGCGTGCTGGTAACACCTCAACATCTGCGTGCCTGAGGGCCAAAAACATGGTTTACACAAATAAAAAAAGGCTATGGTAGCATTGTAAAATGCATGAGGCGGCCGTGACATGCACCAAGTCCATGAGCACAGTGTGTCAGCTATAAAACAGCAGTGTTTGGACCTTGAATGCTATGATTTGAAACTGGAAGCTGGAAATTCCTCTTGTTTCAGCTACGATTTTGCTATTTTATCCTTTAACTGCTGCTAGGTCATTAGGCAAACCTATAAAATATAAATCTTACATCTCCAGAAATAATTAATCCATTTCCTGGTACGCTTACACCCATCTCTGGAGTTTGCCCTTCCAGCCCCCAAAGCAAAGCCTTTCCGGGCAGAGTGCAGCCTTCTCACAGCCACTCTGACAGGACGGAGGGCTGCACTTAATCACATCGCTGGGAACAACCTCTAATATCTTCCTCACTTTGCCTGACGGCGGCGTCTTCCTCGCTCCTGTTTAATGATATGAAAATATCCCGACATTAAATTAGTTTTCTCACATGCTCGCAGCGAACGCTGCTGGAGAGGTCAGTTTGCCAGCTGGGCAGCGAGAGAACATTTGCACACGTCTAAACACACACAGGCCCCATAAACAGATGGTGTCTCCTCGTGCACGCACACACACACACACAGAGATGTGCTGTTAACACATGACCAGGTCCCTCGAGTTTGCGGCCCAAACATTACACACGAGATAACATCGTGTACGTACTTATGCAAAAACGCACACAATCCAGTCATTCACATGATTCTGAAACCAGTTCCTCATCTCTGCACAGTCAAACACGTTCTTCCTCAGCTCGTCATCCTGCTTCCTCTTTACTGTCTCAGAAGTGCAGTCCTACAGTGGACCATGCTGCAGCTTCACACCATCAGAGCTTAGTCATCCACACACTGCTGCACTTAATCCACTATGGCTAACACGCACCTGCGTTCCCCTCAGAGACGTTATCGCTGCTTTGTCATGAGCTGCTGTCATTCAGTGATTGCGTCACATCGGAAAGCAATAATCTGAGAACAGACACAGACCTAAACGACTTCACCCGTGCACGGTGCACACCACTGTGTCTATGCTGTATTATACAAAGTGCTGCTATAATAGACTCCCTACTGCCAATCATTGAGATCACACACACGGATACACCGCAGCTCAGTGGACACGCCGTTAAATCTAAACCTTAATCTAATCCACTCGTCCTCCCTGTGTGAAGAAAGCAGTCCACTGACAGCAGCAGGTCACTCGGGCACGCCCCGATGTAAAAAGCACACTGTGAAAGAAAATGCAGCGAGGAGTTTCCGCTCTGACGGTTCAGGAAACACTAGAGCATCTAAAAGGCTTCCCTCACAGGGCGCTGACCGCCACTTTGAAAAGAAAG